GATGTTAAACCTCTGTCAGATGTGTCACTGGTGAAGATTTTTTCCCCATTCCATGGGTTTTCTCTTCACTTTTTTGATTGTTTTCTTTTACTGTACAGAAGCTTTTTAGTTTAATGAGGTCCCACTTATTGATTGCTGACCTTAATTCCTAAGCAACTTCTGTCTGATTTAGAAAATCCTTTCCTACACCTATATCCCTAAACCTGTTGGTTTTTGCCAATATTTTCTTCTAGTTTCAGAGTTTCAGGGTTTCACATTGAGGTCTTTGATCCATTTGGAATTTACTTTTGTGCAAGGTGAAGATCCCAAAAGTTCCACCAGAAAACTCCTAGAACTGATCAACACTTTCAGTATAGTGGCAGGTTATAAAATCAATCTACAAAAATCAGTAGCCTTCCTATATAACAATAACAAGCAATTGGAGAAAGAATACGGGGAAATGCTCTCATTCACAATTGCTGCAAAAAAAAAATAAAATATCTTGCAATACATCTGACCAAAGACACCAAAGATCTTTACAACCATGTTGATGGATTAGAAGAATTAATATTGTTAAAATGACCATCCTACCAAAAGCAATACATGGATTCAATGCAATCCCAATCAAAATCCCCATGACATACTTCACAGAATTAGAAAAATCCATCCTTAAATATTTATGGAGGCACAAAAGAGCCCGGATAGCCAAAGCAACCCTGAGCACAAAGAACAACCACTCGGGGGGATTACTATACCAGATCTCAAAGTATACTACAGGGCTATAGTCATAAAAACAGCATGGTACTGGCACAAAAACAGACAGATCAATGGAACATCATTGAAGATCCAAACCTGAGTACACGCAATTTCATCCACCTGATATTTGACAAAGGTGCCAAGAACACACAATGGAGGAAAGACAGCATCTTCAACAAATGATGGCATGCTACATTCTCAGCTGACCTTGAACTTGTATCAGTCTTTCTGCCTCAGCCTCCCTAGTGCTGTGGTTACAGGCTTGAGCTGCACAACTGGCTCAGAAAGACCTTTTTATTTGTAAAGAAAAATAGATGCCCCCAAATCAGTGTTATTCACTACTGTAGTAAAATGTGAATCATCATTTTAGTCAAGGATGTGCCTTCCCAACAGGGATAAGGCTTGAAGGGACAGTAATGGGAACAATCACCACGCTCCTTTCTCCCATCATCTGCCCTGCATTCATGTGACCCTGGGCTATTCTTGGTACCCAGTTTGTACTGCTGCTTGGTGGGTTCTCAACCATTTGTATTTTTCTTCAGATATGTTAAGAGCATTAACAGGGTATTTTTTTTCATTTGTTTTCTTTCCTTTGAGCACATTTCATGCAAGATTTATAGTTTACTTCATAGAAAGATGCCTTAATTCCAAAACTTCAGCGGGCATCTATGGTCACCTCTGTCAGTCATTTATGACCCAATCATTTTTCTTTAGATAACTGCTACCAACATGACCTTCTAAATCTTTTATTTAACTTTATAGGACTAAATAATGGTTATATCGTTTGTCATACAGTTCATCGCTATATTCAAACTTATCAACAGGAGATTTTTATTTTTAAACAGAGGTTATTTGTTTGTATTTATAAATTTCATTAATGGACAATGGAATTATTCAGATTTTTAGTACAGCTTTTAGATGCTTCTCTTGGAAACATCTGTTTTTTTGAAAAAAAATATTTTATTTAGAATTTTTATTTTATGTGCATGAATGTATTCCCTGCATGTGTGCAAAAGCATCCATGTCATGCACTGCCTCTGGAGCTCAGGAGAGGGCATTGGATTCTCCTGGAACTGGAGTTATGGACAGTTGTTAGCTGTCATGTGGGTTCTGGGAACTGAACCTGGGTCCTCTGAAAGAGCAGCCAGTCCTCTTAACTGCTGAACCATCTCTCCAGCCCCAACATATATGTTTATATATGCTCTACAATATGGTTTTCTGGATATTAACTGGAAAAGTATATGAAAAAGTGTGTGTGTGCATATGCGTATGTGTGTGCATATGTGTTTATGTGTGTGCATGTGTGGGCAGATGTGTGTGCTGCATGTGTTTGTGTGTATATGTGTGCATGTGTACATATATGTTTGTACATATGTGGACAGGTGAGTGTTTACGTGTCCATATATGTGTGCGTATCTCTGTGTGTGTGTGCATATATGTGCGCACATGTGCATATATATGTGTTTATAGGATACAGAAAACTACTTTGTTGTTTATTCTGAATTCAAACCTTCTTACTATGAACTGAAGGTGGAATAAACACCATTTCAAAGATGTTTGAAGTAAAACAGTAACAAAACCTTTTTTGACAGAGTCCTTTTTATTTTTGTATTAGCTCTTGGGAATTTACAGAATAGTTACATAGCATGGTTTTCAAGGATAAAAATGTTAACCCAATACTCACACTTCTGGGTTAATATGAAACTTTTGATTTGCCACAAAATTTGCATTATAGGCTGCTGAGCATATGACATAGGGAGAGAAATACAGAAATAATGAAGTATTCAGTGTGAGGGGTCTACTGATAGTGATTTGTGGGCACTGTGAACTTTTGCTTCTGTAAACAATGTCAACCCAAGAAAGTAACTTGTGAATGTGATTTTCTGAATTTATGTGCACATCTATGTGGAATAAATGACAGTGAAATTGCTGGGACAGTGGGTACAAGCAGCTGGGATTTGGCTTTACATTGTCAAATTTAACTATGGTAGCATTAAAGAAATACGGTCATGGTGTTTGATGGCCTTCAAGTGATACATGAGAAATTGTCAATATTCTGTAGAATATTCAGAATATGTTCTGGTCTGTGTAGGTCACATACTATTAAAGTGTATTTCTCTATGACCAGACTATTCCAAAGAATCCAGTGATTTTTTTTTATTCTTCTTAAAACATGCTAACTGGATGTAGCTAATTTAATTAGTAATATCAATGCATATCACATATATTTCTCTTTTTTTTTAGCCAGCAAGCAAGTTCTTTTATCTCATACATCACCTAAGAAAGGGCCAGAAGTGATAACTAAGAAAAAACTTCCACAAACAAGTCAGAAATCCATTAAAGGCAGACCTGGAAGTGTGGTAGTAGACACGGGTCTGCCTCTGCTAGAGGAGGAGGTCATCAACATGCCTACTATAGAAGAAAATTCTAGTACACCACAGGTATATTAACTGTAGAAAAGAATTGCTTGGGGCTTGGGAGATGACTCAATGGGTAAAATGCACCCATGTGACCCCAGTGCTGCAGGACAAGACAAGCTGATCCCAGGGGCTCAGTGGCCAGCCAGCATAGCCAAAATCTCAAGTTCAGGTACAGTGAGAGAACATATCTCAAAATATAAGGTGGAGGAAATGAGGAAGAAATCCCAAATTGGCCTCTGGCTGACACATGTACGGAGTAGTGCACCCACACCCATGTGCACGTATACACTACACCCACATACATACAGACAGGAGAGAGAGACAGAGACAGAGAGAGATAGAGACAGAGACAGAGAAGAAAAGAGAATTATTCAGATGGACTTCCAAAAAATCTAGCATAAAATAAAACTGACAATGTATGACACTTGCTATATGCAATGCCTTCCTCATATCACAAGAATGAAAGAATCTAACAATTGAGCAATTTCTGTGTCAGGATCTTTACATGACAAATTCCATCTCCAACCCTGTAACAAAGATGTTATTATCTTATTTTGAAAATGAGCTCTAATATATAACTCAAAACTTCATATATTTCAAAAAGGTCACGTTAATAAAAAATGACTTGAATGCATCCTAAGCTAAAGGGGCAACGATAATGTATATATCTTAAAGTAGCAGAATAAAGCATGACCTAGACATCAGGAAAAAGTAAAGGAACTGACAGGAAGATAAGATGCCATAAATAAGTCATAATATGACAGTAATTATAATACATATAAACATGGTCATCACATAAAGGCTAAAACAATTTAAGTTACATAAATGATCCAACTGTAAGTTGTCCAAAGCAACACTTTAAATGACTATCACAGGGCTCTCGAGATGGCTCAGGGGGTGAAGGCACTTGCAACCAAACCTGACGAACTGAGTTCAATCCCTGGGCCCCACATGGTGAAAGGAGAGAGCAGAATCACACATATTGTCTTCTGACCCTCACATGCATGCTGTGGCATGTGCAAGCACAGAATTGGGGGGGGGGATGGAGGGAGGGAGGAAAGAAGGGAAAGAGACAGAGAGAAACACACAGAATAAATAAGTAAATATAAAGAAAATCACACAAAGTTAACATGAACCAGAACAGAACTGATGATAGATCTAAAGCACCCAGAAAGCATGACAGACATGTGTGAAAGCAAAAGGAAGAATGAAGTAGTTGTGAACTTAACTAACATGGAGTCTCCTAACTGCCCAGCTCAGTGAAAAAGACTTAAAGGCTATTAGAAAAACAGAGAAAAAAAAAAAGAGACGAGCAAGAATTTGATCGAAATGTTTCTCAATCATATGTACTTTGTCTTAGTGTCCCCAGAGTAGTTTATTATTTTCTTGTACATGCATATGTGTGCTGTGTGCCTTCATGTCTGTGTGTGTATAAGGGCACACATGTGAAAGTCAGAGACAGCCTCTGGTGTAGGTCCATGCCTTCTAGTTTATTTGACAAAGGGTTTTTGTTTGCTGCTGTGTATGCAGGCTAGCTAGTTTAGAACTTATAGGGACTCTCCTGTCTCCAGTTCCCATATTTGCATAGGAGCAGTGGGATTCTAGACATGCACTACCTGGCTTTACATTGGTTCTGGGCATTTGAACTCAGGTCCTTGCATTTGCAGAGTACTTAACTCACTGAGCCATCTCCCTAGTCCGCTCAGGATATTTTAAATGATACATATTGGGGTTAGAGAGATGAGTCAGCAGTTAAGAGTACTTGCTACTCTGGCAAAGGACCTGATTCAATCCCTTCCCCAGCAGCCACATCATAACCACCTGTAACTCCAGCTCCAGAGGATCAAATACTCTCTAGCCTCTGAGAGCACCTGCAGTTACATGCATACACCTACATACATACATACATACATACATATGTATATACATACATACACACCTTCATATATAATTAAAACAAATCTTAATTAATAAAATTCTCAATAAAGCCCAAAGCATCTGTATAGTTTAGATATGAAATATTAACATAATGAAATAATAGGTACATTAATAATAATTTAAAGGACCATACATATGAAAACAAGATAAAATATATAATTTTTTAGTTAAAAAGAACATTAAGAATTATGAAACCTATGGAACTCAGTAATGATTGTTTTTTGTTTGTTTGTTTGTTTTGTTTTATTTGTTTTGCTTTGAAGCAGGATCTCTCTGTAGTCCCAGCTGGCCTGGAACTCACTACATAGACTAGGCTGGCCTTGATCACAGAGCTGGAATTCCCATGAGCTGGAATTACAGATGTGAGCTACCATACCCAGCCAATAATGACTTTTTGGAAACTCTACAAATCATAATTTGTAAGCAATACTAATAGGCTGATTTTTAGATTAATCAGCTGGACACAATTGATTAAAAACACATGAGCTAAGCTACTTAAAAGTTAGAAAAGACTTAAGTAGTAACTCATAGATAAAAGGATGAAAGAGTTAAAAAATGAAAGGGATATACATCAATGAAATTCATGAATAAAACCTACAAATTAATTATATCTAAGCGATTTCCTTTTGAGATCTATAAAATACATATGCTACTAGTAAGATCAAGAAAACCGGAAGATGTGAATTTACCAAATACAGGAATTTGGGATGGAATTTCAAAGGCATTAAAAGGTATTAAAAACAACTTTATGCTTGCAGATTTAAAAGCTAGGGCCAGGGGAAAGATGAACTCCTCGGGGTGGGTGAGGAAGGAAATTTGGAAAAATTCATAAGAAAACTGAAAATATGGATAAAATGATAAAGAACAATAAGATTTCAATGATAATATCGTCAAAGTCTCCAGTTGCTAGTTGTCATGTGACCAGCTGACTTGTGGAATGGGCCAAATACTTTGAAGGAGTAGATTACTCTAGAAAACAGAAGAAAACTTCTTGAACAGTTGGTGTGTCTAAAGCAGGGCTTGAACCCAGATAGCTCCAGCTTGTGAGGTTCTGCCCTTAACCACTACGCTCTGCTGCTTCTAAACCAGTCAGTAGCTTTCCTCTCTGCCAGCACCAACGCAGTGGACTACAGAACATGCTCTTTCATAACAGCGATGTGATTATAAAATATTTAAAAATTTACTTAATCACACACACACACACACACACACACACACACACACACACACACACGTTCTCCATGTAGTAAAACGTTACATTTTAACAAAGGACATAGGAAGTCAGAGATTGAGTGAAAACATTGAAGACTACAAACGACTTTTCTACTTAGAAAAGTAGTCCATGCTTTTCAGTCAGGTGAAATAATGTTACGAAGATATTGGTTAATCCTTTAAATGATTCTTTTAAAACAGGTTTAGAAGTATAAGAGCATTATAAGAAATTGTATATAGTATCTGCCAAGTATCCTGTGATTAACCTTGAAATTCTTACTATTTGCAAGAGTTGGTCTAAACTTACTCTGAAATTCATAAGGATGAATCACAATCTGCAAATAGTTAAAGTCAATCTTGAAAATGAAGGGCAGAGACAGAGAACTTCCTTCTCCAAATATTATGATGAACTAAACAGTCACTTTGGCTAAAATGAGTAATAGTTACTTCAAAAATAGGGATATGGAGCAAATTAAGAAAGCACAAATGAAACATTCATGTTTTCATTTTTTAATTAATTTATTTGTATAATGTTTTGCCTGTATGCATATAAGTGCACCCATGTTGTGCAGAGGCTACGGAGGCCAGAAGAGGGTGTTGGATCTCCTAGTACTGAAGCTAAAGATGGTTGTTAGCCACCATGTGGGTGCTGGGAACTGAACAAGGATCCTCTGTAAGAGCAGCCCGTACTCTTAGCCATCTCTCCAGCCCCAGATTCATGATTTTTTAAAAAAATAAAGATAGAAGTAAAACTGTCAAAGGAGTAAAAGTGTCCTGTCTTACAGAGGCTAGGAAAATAATTAACTGATAAAAGTATACCGCAGATAATATTGTAAACAAAAGTGGATTCCAGGTGTACCACAGATTCAGTCCTGAAATTTTAATAAGTGAAAGTAACAGGCAATGATGTAGGAGATTATTTTTGTACCTTAAAAATACATCAACAGCAACAACAAAAAACCCTAAAAGCCAACCACTTTGACAAAACACTCAAACTCTGTAATAATCTAAGAACTGCAAAACAGGACAGAAATGAGATTTCACACTATTCTCATTGCATTGTTAAAAATGAGACTTGGAAGATGGCAGGCAGTGGCTGGGGTGTTAAATGTTTATTCACCCTGTGTTAGAGTTTTTAAGAATATCCATATCATTTAAATTATGGTCATATAATTCATAAATCATATATTACCATATGCTCTGCCCAGTGTGTCATACAATGTACATGCTATGTATACATTTTCCCTTGTCCTTAACTGCTGCCTTTCCTTCTGCAGTGCTACAAGTACATTATACAGTGCTTGGTGTTGCACAACAGTTGGCCTCTCACAGATACTCAGCTGACCTTTGTTCAAGCATTGAAAGACTTAGAGAAAACTGATAGCAGAGGTATGTCACTCTAAATATTTATACATACCATTTTTATTTCATACAATGAAGAGTTATGAAATCATAAACTGTATTGTTTATAATTAATATTCTATGTCCGTTCCTGTTTCTTGTATTGATTTTATATTTCATTATATTTATGGCATAGTTTATGCAAACAAAAATATGTCATTATTGAGTAGATCTCATTTAAACATATTTTGTCTACTTAGCAAAACTTACTCATCAGTGATGCTTTTAAACATTTCAAGAAATATGCAGAGAACTTTTGTGTTTTTGCAGTTATATTTCCCCATAGTTGTCAAGAAAAATATGATGATACGGTGATAGCCTCTCAAGGTATCCAACAAATTTTTCAACTCCATGGGTACCTTTCTAGTGAATGAGGACTCTCATTTATTGTTTCAAACTATAAATTTTCTTCAATATTCTTGAGCAGGAAATTATAATTTTTTGACTTTGAAAATGAGAATTAAAGGGAACTGTCAGTCAGCCTCCAGCTGTAAGCTCGCGTCACATTATAAAGTAACTGAATGTGAGGAAAACTGTTTTTTCTATTTATATTCTTTTAAAAATTTATATCAGATGGTTTAATCACAAAAATAATATACAGAGATTATCTTAAAAATTAAATAAAACCATAAAAATAGCATAAGCCTGTGGCCCTGTAAGCTTCTAAGCTAATATTCCCAGTTACACTGACAGCATCGTCTGTGATAGCCTCCAGCATGTTTAATAGCACACATTATACATGTGTACTGCTTAATCACAATATAAATAATACAATATCACACATTTCCTAGAAAATTTCATGGAATGTGGGTTTTGCTGACATTTCTTTTCATTCCAGTTCACCTCCCTATTCCCTGACAGTCATTGCTTAACATTGCCCAGAGTGGCTGAAATACAGGAAAGGGAAGACCAGTATTCTTATATTCTTGCCAACATGACAGCTTTTCCAGAAACTAATGTGAGAGAAGCAAAAACCTCCTTGTAGGCCACATGTCAAGGTGCATGTGGCTGGTGGTCCTTACTGTGGCTGCATTGCCCTTGCTGTGGACTCCAGCCCCAGCACCTCAGGTCCCAGGCTGTTCTCTGGATCCTTGTCTATAAACGTCTCAGCTCCCACCCAGCACTCCTTAACTCAGCCTTATGGGTTATCCATAGATGTGAGCCAGAGCTCTTCAATTGGTTTGTTATCAATCACCCAAAACCCACCAAGTTCTAATGGATAATAAGTGGGCAAAGCCTACTGATTTTATTTATTCCTCTTTATGTATTAACAAACTCTTTATCTTTGTATTCATTCTTGTCAGGCTGTCACTTTGAGTATCCTTTAAATTACCCCTTACCCATGCTGGGGATGGGCTCAGTGATACGTGCCTGCCCAAATGATCCCCTCCTCCCCTGCAATGCCATTCCAAATCTCTTAAGCACATACTGTGCAAAAACTCATCTGGATTTCTTCTCTTTACAAATCAACGTGAAGGAACCCACTTGAAACAATGGATGGTACAAATCATGGTAGTTCATGTCCTTCTGCTGCCACATAGATGGCAAAAGATGGAAAAGTCTCGATATCAGTAGACTGAAATGTGTTATGCTGAAAGGTCTGTGTGCAAATAAAATAGTCACAATTATAGAAATGAATCAAAGTAACAGAGAGTGCCGTTTGGTGTGCTTATGTAGCAGCAAAGCTATTCTTTGCTTTTTAGTTTAGTTTTATTTTGTTTTGTTGTTCTTCAGGGACAATTTGTAGTGCCAATAAATTTTAAATTATATTCCTGGAGGCTCAGCATTATAGAAGAGCAAAGAATTAGAACCAAATCTCATTGTTTGGTCCATGCAATCTATTTCATGAGTTGCCTGTGTCTCTCCAGACTCAAGTTTTCATGTGATAATATTCTATTATGCCTGTCTTGACACAGCCTAGATAGTCAAGGTTCTGTTCCACATATTAAGTATAAATATAAAGCACATTGGGGGATGGAGAGATGGCTCAGTGTTTAAGAGCACCAGCTGCTCGTGCAGAGGTACACAGATAGCAGCTAACAACCATCTGTATCTCCAGTTCCAGGGAATCTGATACTTCCCTCTGGCCTCTGAAGAAACTGCACAGTCCTGGTGCACTTACATGCAGGCAAAATAGTCACACACATAAAATAGAAGTAGAAAAATCAAAAAATTAAAATATATATACAAAAATGACATGGAAGGGAAAAGTAATACAAGAAGAATAGCTCACAAAAAGAGAACTACTAGTAGAGATAAATGGCTCCTTGAAACAAAACTTACCAGCTATGTGCAGTGCCCTGGGTTATAGCTCAGAGACAGAGAGGAGCGGGAAAGGAAAGGGTGAACGTGAGGGAGGAGAGAAAGAAGGGGAGGGACAGGAGAATGATCACCTGAGATCAACTAAATATCTTTCCTCACAAGGAAACCTTGTTTCTAAATAACATTCAATGAAATTTCTAAGCATTCAGTAATGAAAGAAGACATATTTGGGCAAACATGTTAAGCTTTCCAGGACAAGATAGTACCATAGTATAATATAAAATAGGGACCAATTTACGAACAGAGTAATCAAAGGGGTAAAGTTAATAAAATGAATTAACTTTTTAGAAAGAAAGTTATTAGATGGGGAGATACATCATAGTGATAAAAATATGCTTCTTATCCTAAACTGGGGTTATTTGTCACCTGTGGAACTCGAATGAACAACACAGTCTTTCAAGGTAAAGAAGGTGAAGAAGGTACAAGATAATATGTAAGAAGCCCTTAGGTTCTAGTCGCATTCAAAAATGATACTGTCATTATTTTATAATCCAACTACAAAATAAGGCTTAAAGAATAATAATACGTATTATCTTATGACATTCCATTTGCCAATTTCGTGTCTGGATGGTCAACTGCTAAAATTAAACTATATTTTTCATTGAATGATGTATTTGCTGATGAAGAACAGTAAGCAAAGAAACTCAGAGCTGCATTGCATTTAAATAAACTGGAGAAATTTTCTACTTGAAAGGATATGTTGAGAAATACCTCCGAAAATCCAGCAGCTTTTGAGTTCAGAATAAGAACTCTACAATATCGTGTTTTAAAATGTGAATATAAAAGAGATTACATTTTATTTACTGCTGGAGTTACTTATCCTCTTACTTCATTGTGGGTCCTTGGGGTTAAACTAAGGTCATCAGGCTTGGCAGCAAACACTTTCATACAGTAAACCATCTTGTCTGTCCTATAAATTGGATTTTCAGATAGCTAATTTGATTCATTACAATGTATCAATACACCCACTGCAATGCTTCAATTATATTTACAGCTCAAAGTCTAATGGTTTAATTTTTTTGATTGCCTTTGATAGATTTTTGTTTTAATTTTATTGACTTTTTATGATTTTTTCATACAATATGGTTTGATGGTATTTAGATCTCCTACCATACCCACACCTCCCCCCACTGCACCACCCAATTTAGCGAGCTATCATATATGTGTATATATATATATATATATATGTAAAATATATGGGAGATATATATATATGGGAGATATATATATATATAAACATGGCCTATAGAGTCTGATTTGTGTCCCCAAATGTCCTTCAGTGTGGGCCCATCTACTGGGCGCACCAACAGTCTCATCCTTGTAAGACACTGTCTCTCTCCTTTCCAGAAGCTATCAATTGCCAAAAGTTCCTTAGGTTGGGTTGGGCTTTCTTATCCACTTCTCCATGTCTGTACTAGGATTTTGTCTGGTTTGAGTTTGCATAGGACTTGTGCATGCTGTAACCATTGCTGTGAGTTCATATAAGTAAATGACCTGGAAGACTGTTTCTTTGTGGTCATCCACCCCTTCTGACTCACAATCTTTCTGTCTCCTCTTCCACAATGATCTGTGAACCTTGGGAGGCAGAAGTTTGAAATAGGTATCCTAATCAGGGATAAGTCCTCTGCAGCCTCTTGTTCTCTGCACATTGTTCAATTGAGGGTTTTTGTGTTAATTGCCATCTCCTGAATAAGGAAACTTCTCTGGTGAGAGTCGAGAGACACATTCATCCTATGTGTAGAGGTTGCATTGAAGATGTATCACTTAGAGCTAAGTATCCTACAGACACTTATTCTCTGCATTTGATGTGTTATGTAACACTGTAATAGTCTCCATCCATTGCAGAAAGAAGCTCCTTTGATGAGGGGTGAAAGGTGCACTTTCTGTATACATGAGGATGCATATTTAGAATAAATGGGGAAAAGGGGGTAATTTAACTGGAGAGTGAGTAGAGAGGGTTATACAGCGGGAATGAGAAGAGAGATAAATAATTCTTAAATGGCATGAAAAACCAGAGGGAAATAAATTAGTTCCTGAAATCCTACTGAAAAATACTCATACAATAAATATATGAGTGCATCTGTATAGCAGAAGGCTATATAACAAAATGCACAGTCCCGGGCAGGAGAAACCTCCCTTCTGTCTGGTGTTGGTCAGAGTAGTTCAAGAGACTCCTCAAATAACACAGGCTATTTCCAGAGCCCTCGATTGCCTCCCAGAGCTTGAAGACCCTATTGCTGAAGACAGGCCACACTTCAGACACAGGATTTAGAGCAATAGAGCTGGACCTGACCTGGAAGCCTCCTCCCTGAAGACTAGGTCTCATGGTATCAGAGGATACTATACAAGCTGCCAAACAAGAAAACCATTCAATGATCCTGTGATCCTATTCAGCTGTAAAGCCTAATTAACAATGACTGGCCCAGCAAATTATTGCTATTGGTACACTGAAAGTGCTAGTGGTACTTTTTTCTTAGGGGTAATTAGCAGCTGTCTACTGGGAAGGAACTCATGTGTAGTGCTGTAAACATAGCCCAACACACATGACTGGAGAGGTCATAGATCTTAGAGAAAAACCTACTTTTGCCATGTCCTTAGACCAACCTAACACTTTACTTTTTCTTATAATTTGAAATGAATTTTTGCAAATTTCATACAATATATTTTATTGTACTTAGATCCTTTCCCCTATCTGCATTCTTCTCAGTACCACTCCCCCAGACCTATAGAGTAAAATTTGTGGCCCCAAATATCCTTTGTTATGGGTTCATCCATTGGAGCCTGGTCAACTGGCTGAGGAGAATGACTCTCCCCCTCCCAGCAGCCATCAGTTTCCAGTAGTTCCTTGGGTAAGGCTGGGGTTTTTTATCTACTTCCCCATGTCTATTTGGAATGTTGTCTAGCTTGAATTTACCTGGGACTCATGTATGCTGTCACCGTTGCCGGGAGTTTATATAAGTAACTCACCAGCTGTCTGGAAACCTCTGCTTTCTTGTGATCATCTACCACCTCTGGCTCTTAATCTTTCTACTCCCTCTTCTGCAATGATCCCTGAGCCTTGGGAGACAGACGTTTGATATAGGTGTCCTATCTAGGGATAAGCAGTCTGAAAACTCTTATTCTCTGAACATTAGCCAGTTGTGGTTTTCTGTGTTAATTCACCGTTTGCTGCATAATGAAACTTCTCAGGTGAGAGTTGATAGATGCATTAATTTGTGGGTATAACAGTAAGTCATTAGTAATCAGTTTAATACTATATTTATTTAGCTGAGTAATTGTCTAATGTTCTAATTTTAAGAGTATAATATATTTAGAGAAAACATCAATTACTGATGTGTTCAAATTAGCTAAATTTAAAAATATAAATACTTATATGAAGAATTAGTTGGTCAGGGGATGGAGAGATGGGTCAGCAGTAGAGAGCACTGGCTGTTCTTGCAGAAGACCTGGTTTTGAATCCCAACACCCACATGACAGCTAACAACTGTCTGCAACTCCAGTTCCAGGGGATCTGACAGCCTCTTCTGTCCTCTGCGGGCATTGCACAACATGGATGCACTTAGCTATATGCAGGCAATGCACACATACACATAAAATAAAAATAAGAAATAGAATTTAAAAAAAAGTTTGGGAAGTTTCACTTTCTACTGAAGTTTTCCCTCTACTGCATTCTGCATCCATGTCAGGCAGGGTAAGAGCCCTAAGGAAATGCCATGAAAGGCTTTTTAAGTTCATTTCATCAACCATTCTCCCCAGTACTTCTCTGCAAGGGATGTTGGATTCCAATGACTGTTTCCTCCAGGGATGGCCTCAGCAGGGGCACACACCCCTGGGGTCAAACCTTCCCGTTTTGAGTCAGAAGGATGTTTTTCCTCTGAAATTTTATTTCCATATATGCTACCAACACATGCAGATTTTTTTTTTTGTAAGCCTGGCACACTAAAGCAAACAACCTGATCATGACTACATCACATGAATTAATAATTGAACGAGATGTGATGGACACAACATGAATACAGACACATTTTAGATTTTATCAGCATAGAAGGGAACAAGAGAAGTGTGTAAGAGGCAAAGGTTTTGTCTACTATTGAAATTACACTGATATTAGAAGAGCCCTAAGGAAATGCCATGAAAGGCTTTTTAAGTTCATTTCATCAACCGTTCTCCCCAGTACTTCTCTGCAAGGGATGTTAGATTCCAATGACTGTTTCCTCCAGGGATCGCCTCAGCAGGGGCACACACCCTGGGGTCAAACCTTCCCGTTTTGAGTCAGAAGGATGTTTTTCCTTTGAAATTTTATTTCCATATATGCTACCAACACATGCAGATATTTTTTTTTTTGTATGCCTGGCACACTAAAGCAAACAACCTGATCATGACCACATCACATGAATTAATAATTGAACGAGATGTGACGGACACAACATGAATACAGACACATTTTAGATCTTATCAGCATAGAAGGGAACAACAGAAGTGTGTAAGAGTCAAAAGTTTTGTCTGCTATTGAAATTACACTGACATTAGTCTAAAATTATTGATTATAAATATTTTAATTATAATCCCCCAGATAAACTACTAATAAAATGAAAATGTATAGAAAACAAACAAAAACTCAAGAGAATTAAAATGCTGCAGAAGTCAGTATGCTTTTGACATAAACGAAGGTAGTAACAGAAGACTAGAGGAATAAAAAGGACATGAAATACATAGTAAAATAAAGATTGAAATGACAGATATAAAGCTTTCCTTTTAATTATAATCCCCCAGATAAACTACTAATAAAATGAAAATGTATAGAAAACAAACAAAAACTCAAGAGAATTAAAATGCTGCAGAAGTCAGTATGCTTTTGACATAAACGAAGGTAGTAACAGAAGACTAGAGGAATAAAAAGGACATGAAATACATAGTAAAATAAAGATTGAAATGACAGATATAAAGCTTTCCTTTTGGGGATTTTTGTTAAATATAAATTTAAATACTTTACAACTAAACATGATCTAACTGTATATGTTTATGAGGGGCATTCTGTGGTTCAAAGACACAGATCGTTTTAAGACAAAAGGTTAGAATAAATAATACAAATAGCAACCAAAACAAACCTGGAATGGTTGTGCTAATGTCAGAAAGAATTGATATTAAGATTTAGAAAAGTTATGAGTTCATTTATAACAGGGAAAAGGCCACCTAGTCACGAAATAAAGCCATTATACATGTCTGAACCTAACAGCAGAATTTCAACATGCATGAAACAAAAGCAGAATTGAAGACATAGGTCATTCTACAATAGTAGCTGGGAGTTTAATAAGGGGCAGAACAATTAAACAGAAAATCAGTGAAGATTATGAAATGCTGAATGACGGTGCACAACCTAAAAGTTGCTGGTCTCCCCTCAGCAACACAATGAAACAAAAGCAGAATTGAAGACATAGGTCATTCTACAATAGTAGCTGGGGATTTCAACATCCTGAGTTTAATAAGGGGCAGAACAATTAAACAGAAAATCAATGAAGATTATGAAATGCTGAATGACAGTGCACAACCTAAAAGTTGCTGGTCTCCCCTCAGCAACACACTTGCTTCTCACAACCTGGAACAGCAGCAAGATAGACCACACAGGAAGCAGTAACACGAGTCTAACAAATGGGAGAGAATGGAAATTATGCAGATGTGTTGTCTGATCACAGGTGAAGAAAATAAGAAACCAGTAAGAAATAATATCTTACAGATGGATATAAACCACAGCTTTTGGGGGTTTTTGGTTTTGGTTGTTTTTTTGTTTGTTTGTTTGGGGGTGTTTTTTTTTGGTCTTTTTTGAGACAGGGTCTCCCTGTAGCCCCAGCTGGCCTGGAACTTGCTAAGTAGACTCGGCAAGCCTTGAACTCACAGGGATCCACCTGCCTCTGCCACCTGAGTGCTGGGACTAAAGGCCTGCACCACCACGCCCAGCTGAAACCATACTTCTTTAAATCAACTTAATTTTTTTTGTTAAAACTAGAAAAGTAGAAAAAGAAAAGAAAAAGTAAAAACAATCTGAAATCACACAGAAGGAAGGGAATGGTTACAGCAGAAATAAATGAATTCAATATTGTAGCACAGGCAGCAACCAGGGTAGTTACACCAAAATGAAATAAAGGCATCCAGAAGGCAGACAGAGTGACGGGCGGTGATAGCTCCAGCACCTTAATATCCTAAATCCCACTAGTTTACACATAGCAATGTTATTTATAGTAAATGAATATCTCAATTTCATTAAAAAATTGACAAGCTGTAATAAAACAACCATTCCTTTTCTTACAAGGAAAGAAATCCAAACTCTTTCGCTGCTCCACTTTCACAATGGCCTTCCCTTATTCCTATCTAAAACAGATTTTTTTGTCCCATCATGACTTCCTGTTTGCCATTTTCATGTCTTTCTAGCTCACGAGAAACACGAAGAATTAATTACCACAGGAAGCCCTGAATCCCATGCTATCAGTGAAGGGCAAAAGTCTGTAGGAACTTCCAAAACAACCAGGAAAGGCAAAGAGAAAGCTGCTGAGAAGGAAAAGTTAACCAAAGAAAGACAAGCTCCTCGCTTTGAGCCTCAGGTGGGTGTGAATAGGCCTTTTTCTCTTGGAGTCACTTCGTGTACTTGGATTCATTGGGTCATAGCTGACCCATCTCTCCTAACAGATTCTATCTTGCTGATCCCACCAATCATCTAGACATATTGAGGACATTTCTTGGACACATTTTCCTGAATTTCCTCCCCTGGTTAATATCAAAAAACCATTAGTTGAACTGATCCTATGTAGCACACTAACTTTTGATCTTGGGTTTTTAAGATTAATGTGATATGATCTCTGTCCTCACAGGACTCGTGCAGTAGAGAAGACTGAAGATTAACAGGGAGCTTTTGTTTATTGATATACTTATTTCTGAGGCCGTAGAGATGACTCAGTGGTTAAGAGAGCACTGGCTGCTCTTGCAGAAGACCGGGATTTGATTCCCAGCATCCACATGACAGCTAACAACCGTCCATAACTCCAGCTTCAGGAGATCCGACACCCTCATCTCACCTCCAAAGGCATTACATGACATGAGAGCATTTACATATATACAGACAATATACTCATACACAGAAAAAAATAAATAAATAAAATATTTTAAAATATACTTATTTCTGGTGTGCAATCAGAGCATACACTAGGAAAGTGCTCTCTCCCTGAGCCACACCCTCATCCCTGACAGAGTTTTATTGATAGGTGTATGTGCAGTGGTAGAAAGGGTAAGATACCTAATCTAGCCTTTTCATGGAGGAATTAAACCCCAATCTAAGTCAATGAGCAAAGACATACTGAAAATAGCCGTTATAGTTTTTGGTAGCATTAAAGTATGAGGGGCTGGAGGGTAAGTGAGGATCTGAAGAGAGACTGGAGCTGGGGCTCAGTCTACAGCACAGGCACCATGACCCCAAGCTGTTTGGGGGCCTAGTTAGGTATTGCAGTGAGGACAGGTAAGGAAGAAGGTGCTAGTGGCCAGTTTGAAGAGTATGACATGGAACCTAAAGATATTCAAATTCAAGTAGGAATACAGACAAACAACTACCCATGAGGGTTAAAAACTTCCTCACTACTTGTGATGATTTGTTTTTGTTAGGTATTTAACAAGTGAAGTAACATGATCAGATTTAAATTTCAGATACTCTAGGTCCTTTTGAAGGTACTGATTCAAAAGAGTTAAGAGAGGCTGGGGAGATGGCTCAGTAAGTAAAGCATTTGGACAAGCATGAGGACCTCAGTTTGAATCTCCATAATCCACGTAAAAATCTGGATGTAGCCTCATAATCCTGTAACCCCATCACTGTGGGGGACAGAAACAGGAAGATTGCTGGGGCTTGTTCTTGATGGATGCCAGTCTAGATCCAGGTTCAGAGAGGGAAAGAGCAGCAGCATCCTCCTGTGGCTCTGCATATGCCCCATACACCATATACATATCACACTGGGGTCTGGGGATGGAGGTAGGTTAGAAAATTATTCAAATTCAGTGATCTAAGCAAAAGAGTGCAAGGTATTCTGTGAAGAGGGCAGAAGAGAGGTGCGGTTATTATCTATATTAGGTGTTAAGAAAGAAGAAAGAACAAATTGTGACTCTCAGGTTTCTGGCACGTTCACCAGGTCACATCCTGGTAGCACTCATAAAACATAAAATAAGGGGCAGTTATCAAATAAGAAGAAGTGAGAATTTAGGTGTCCCAGACTCCAGAAATAGAAAATATCATGCACTTGGATCTGAAAAATTATTTTTCTTAGCTGGAGGATATCCTTGGAAAAGCAAGATTAACTGTATCCACAGATTCCTACAATAGCTCTCCCTTAGAACCTTAACAGTTCTCTCTCTACCAATAAAAAATTGAGGCTGGGAAAATTCCTCATCAACTCACCTGTTGGGTCACTTAAAAGATAACAAAAGCTAATGCATGTGTTTTCAAAAGTAAATAATAAAAGAATTTCCATCTGTGGGATTTAGTTCTCATTTAAACACTAAGGGAATCTTGTAGGAAGCAAGGTCTTTTGGGTAACACTGAAATAGACTGCAAATGAAAACTTGATTCAGTGGCTACAACTTCCTCCATTCCCCAACTGCATTCTTTTAGATAGAAACTGACACAGCCTTGACTTTTTGTGAGGTAGTCCATAACCATGTCAGCTTTATCACTGAACTTGTCTGGTGATTTCCTTGAAGATCCCACTTCCAAGGTGTCTTGAGTCAGTTAGCTTATGAAAAGCCTTCAGCCCCAGATGAGAGCTCGTTCAGGATCACTTAGGCTGAGGATAAAAAAATGAAGTAAAAGGAACCTGTCCTCAGAGACTGGGGCACACATCACACACACCAGCTTTTAAAGTGGACACGGTAGGGGAGAAATTGACAGAGAGGCTATTTGAAGAATTAAAGTCTCTCTCTACCTGATCTGCGTTAATGAACCTCTCCGACGTAGAAAATGCCAAAACCTGTGTCTGCAGCTTAGCCTGTGGTCCTTGCAAGTGATTCTATAAGACACTACAGTGCAATCAATTTTCAGAACGAGCATATGGCAAGTGTACTCAGATGGGGATGACCCGCAATCCCGATCTCATCTTTGTGAAGAGATTATGAGGTGGCATAAGTACAATTTAGAATTGAATTTTTTACAGTTATTTATCTATCTTCTATGTGTTTTGTGTGTATGCATTACTGTGCATGCGTTATTGTGGCCCACATGTGGAGGATGGGGAACAACTTGCAGGAATCAGTTCTCTCCTTGTCATATGCCTCCCAAAGACCAAACTCAGGGCCTCAGGTTGCCTTTGACAGCAAACAGCATTACCCGATGATCCATCTTGCTGTTTCAATTTAGACTTTCTCCTGTATAGTTAAAGTTTGCATAGAGGGATGGGCACAAATCCTTTTTTTTTCTCTCATATGTATATATGGTAATGTGTGTGTGTGTGTGTGTGTGTGTGTGTGTGTGTGCATGTACACATGTATAGGTGCATGTGTTCACACATGCCTATCAAGGCCCAAAGTTGACACTGGACATCTTCTTCCTCAATCACTTTCCACTTACTCGCTGAGGCAGAGTCTCTCAACTGAGCCCAAAGTTTGATGATATGGGTAGTCCAGTTTGCCCTGGGGATCCCCTGTGCCTACATTCCAAACACTGAGATTACAGAGAGCTGCTGTGCCCAGTTTAAAGGGTTTCTCAGTCCTCACAAACTCCAGTCCTCACACTTTCTGTCAAGCATTTTTATCTACATAGCCCCACGGGCACAACTCTTGGTTTCTGACAAGCATGTAATTCATGTTCATTAAGCTACAGATTCCAGATCATGTTCCTAAACCCATTGCTGTTAATTTTGTCACCCTGCACCAAAGCTCCAGGGAACCACTGATCTGCTTTCCATCATCAGGTTAACTTCATCTGTTATGGAATTTCATACAAATAAACCATACAAGGTGAGCCTTTTAGTGCCCAATTTGTTCATACCAATGGGGGCATCTGGCTGCGGTTTATCATGATTCAGTGTCAATTGTACCCAATGATATGAGTTTGCTATACCTATTGATGGATGAATTGAATTGTGCTATTCAATTATGTCATTGCTACTCTGCCATGAATAATGGTACAATCACCATTCTTACACAAGTCTTAGGGAAACTGTGTTTTGATTTCCCTTGGGTAAGTAGCTAATAGTGAAATCATGGATGCGAGAGTAAAGCCTTTTGAGTGGAGGAAATCATTAGTTTTTAAAACCTTTTGTTTTGTTTTCACTGTGTTTTTAGCAAATAGCCCCTGTCCATGCTCAACAAGACGATCCAAACAAACCCTACTGGATTTTGAGGCTGGTCACTGAACATTCTGAGTTAGATCACATCAACCTGAAAAAAGACACAGAACGAGCCGATGAAATCCGAGCCATGAAGCAAGCCTGGGAGACAACGGAGCCAGGGAGAGCAATCAAGGTCAGCCTGCTTGAAAAGCCGTTATTTCTTATTTTTTTCCTTTATCTGTGGTCTGAAGGAAGAACCATGTGTGTGAAGCCACAGAGGTTTTCTCTCCAAATAGTGTCTGAAATTTTATCAGATCTAAACACCTCAACTCTCACCACATCTGGACACGCTGTAAAATATTGCCCTCCTGATTCCAGAAGACTCACAGAAGTCTAAACTATGAACTCCCTTTTTGTCACATGTCCAGGTGGGGCTGTACCCACATCTACATATAAAGCCTCTAAAAAAGACAGCAGGCAAATGTTTAATGTTTGATTTCCTACTTTGAAGAGCCTTAGGTTAAAAAGCACCCTTGTGGAATATAAACACCTGGCTTTCCCCTTGCAGTGGATGAAACACAATTAACTCTCTTGCCTAAAGTGTTCCCGTGCCCTCACTCAGGGTAATTGGGGCAGATGAATAAAGATGGGGAACCATTGGATCTGAGATGGCATGCCCATGAGATTATTAGTATTAAGGTGGTGTCTCCTCTCCCTCCTCCCCCTCTTCCTCCTTCTCCCTTCTCCATCCTCCTCCTGCTCTCTCCTCCTCCTCCTCCCCCTCCTCCTCCTCCCTCTCCTCCTTCCCCAGTTCCTCTCCCTCCTCTTCTGTCTCCTAGTCTTCTTTATCATGATCTTCAAATGGTCAAAACCACAGATGGCTCAGAATTTGAGCCTATTTAATGAAGAAGAGCTGGCTTGGTCCAAACAGCCCTACTAGATTCATGGTTTCCTTTTTCATTTTCTTTTTCTCAATTCCTAGTTTTCTGTTCCTCTGAGTACCATGAACTTTTGCTACCTTTACTGGTTGCTGGTTTTCAAAGCGCTCACAAGGTTGATGTCTGTCTTCCAGGCTTCTCAGGCCCGTTTGCGGTACCTCACCCAGTTCATTAAGAAGCCATCAGAGATGGAGACTTTGTATGCAACTCAAAGTCAAATTAAACCCACAGAAGAAGGTCAGTGAAGCTCACCCCAGTTGCCCCAGGGAACATGACTGTTATTTGTACCTCTTAAGTATTCAGCAGGCCATGGTTAGTGAGATAAAATAATTTTAGAATTTCTAGTCTTCAGGATTGTGAAAAGTCATACAACTTCACAGCAGGACATGAACAGTGCTTCAATTATCAAACCATTTTCACGTAGTTTTTCATCTAATTCTCACATCGCTATCCTCCAAACGCAAGCAGATACGATTTCCTCATTTAAGATGAAGAGCCTGGTGTGGTGTTGTACACCTGTAATCCTAGTATCTAGGAGTTCAAGTTCATTCTCAGCTTCATAGTGAGTTCAAGGCTAACCTGGGTTACAGGAAACCCTGTCTCAAAAAGAAAAACAAAAGATGAAATCAGAGATAAAATAAAATTACTACCTCATGTGAAAGTACGAAGTTAGTGGAATTAGAGGCAGGGCTACTACTGTAAATCTGGCACCATAATAATAATAACAAGAATCATCATAATAAAGCTAACTGCCTATATAGAGTGATAGTCTCAGCCTGCAACCTGCATTATTTTTCTTATTTTAAACCCTGGAATCCAAAGAGCATTGCTTCCTAGACCTAGAATACATATCAAAAAGCACATATATTCATGTACCTTCTATTAAATGGTGATGTGTTTGCATCTAACCTATGTGCACTCTCCCATGTTCTTTAATTTATTCTTGTGTTTCTGATAATCCAGATGCAATATAAACTCTAAGAAGTTGTTATACTCTATTATTTAGAGAATGATATAAAGAAAAGCAAATCTGTATATGCTTAGTACAAATGAAACTAGCATAGAACTTACTGCTTAGCAAATAACAGTATAACCTTTTAAACAATACTTTTAAAATTATTTTTAAATCATGCATCATTTATTATATTGTGTATGTGATGTGGTGGGGAAGGTGTGTCTTCCAGCACATGTGTGGGGGTCAGGTGACTTTGTGGACTCTGTTTTCCACTTTTATGTGGGTACCAGGGATTGAACTAAGATTACTAGGCTTATACAGCAAGTATACTTCTGAGCTACCTTGCCTTCCCACTAATAGTTTTGATCAATGGTGAGTTGACTGAATCCATGGATGTGGAACCTACAGATATAGACAGCAAACTATGTTTTGTTAATACTCATATATCAACCCATTGATATATATTCCAGTTTTCTAAGGACTCAGAGAGCCTCAGTGCTATTTCTAAGTTCACAGGTTATACAGCAGCCCAGCCAGCATTCAGACAGGGCCTCCTTGATCCTGTGACTTATCAGGGACACTTGCCTGTATCCAACTATCACCAGGTTGGGTTTCTGTGGAAGCAGAAATGATTTACACACTAATCAGAAAATAATGAAAATTAGATTATTTGCAATGAATGAGTAAAGAGTAATGTGTGACTGATGTGGTTGGAGTAGATTATTACAGTTTCTCCATGGCCAAGGAGTCTGAAACAGTGGACATAGAATCACTACTAAGAAAAATCTTCCCAGCTTTAAGATTTCACAAGCAAGGACCCTTTTCAGTTGTGTTTCAAGGCAATATTAAGTACCTGTACATAGGAGCCCATCCCAGAAAGAAGGACCTGACCTGTGTACCATGGTCTGCAGAGCTGATGGCATCTCCTTCAGGGCTTGCCTTCTCAGCAGTCCTTGTTATTAAAGATCTCACTTCTGGGGCTGGAGAGAGGGCTCAGTGGTTAAGAGCACTGGCTGCTCTTGCAGAAGATCTGGGTTTGAATCCCAGCACCACATGGTGACTAACAACCATCCATAAGTCCAGTCCCGGGGGATCTGAGATCCTCTTCTGCCCTCTGTGGGCATTGCCCGATAAGGGTGCATCTACATACATGCAGGCAATACAATCACACACATAAAATAAAAATAAAAAACTTTTTAAAAGATCTCACGTCTATCAATAATTGTCTCATCTTCTAAAAGCCTCTTATTCTATGTGATTTAGTAGCCCAAGGAAGCTTCCTGGCACACTGTACTGCCCACATTATTTTTTTTTGGAGTTGGCAATGATTGATTTTGTTGTTACTGGTGCTCTGTTTAGACACTGAGGAACTTCTGAATCATCTTCTCCAAACCAGTGCTCACACAAGCAAACCATGTTAGATTTTTTTTTTTTTTTTTTTTTTTTTGCATGTGGCTTAGCAGACATGTTTTTTCAGGGACATATAATTTGTGTTGTAGGAGAAACAGGAGGAGCTGGTGGGAGAGATGGAGACAGCAAAGAACTGCCACCAACAGCAGCAGGGAGCATGCTATGGAAAAAGTGGCAGTTGACCAAGAGTGTAAAAGATTTGACAAAATCCACCAGCAATGAGAGCAGTGTATCCATCTCTGGGAAGGAAGAATGGGAGCAGATCATGCGCAAGGACAGCACTGGTAAGTACTGATTCCACCGTTAAGCTGTATGCACGTCTGAAATAAAGTTATATGAGCGATCACGACAAATGCATGTGATACTGGGGTTCCTAAACAGGAAATAGACATCTCTTATGCTGATGCCACAGCAAGAATCTCTGGCAGATGTTCTGAGGCTCCATGGCAAAGCTCCATGCCCATCACCCATGTGAAAAAACAAGCGGGAACTTGGTTGCAGACAGTAGGGAGTGGTCAGTGTCATAGCTGCCTGCGATGGGGCTGCTGGTCAGGGCAGTCAAGAGATCAGCCGAACTGAGCAGGATGATTTGAATAATAAGTCATCTACTGTGAGCTCTCTGATGTGCTCCAAATTTTACTGGGCTTCTGGAAGCCCACACACATATCTAAGGTTGTGTGTGTTACACTCAAGAGAGTCCAGAGGGTCATGATATCCATGTGCGCCTGGCTCAGTCCAAGTCCTAAATCAGAGAAAGCAATGGAAAATGCACACACTAGCAGATCTTTGAATGTGGTCCCTGGCCACACAGTTTCCATAGTCAAGAGTAGAAGCCTCTGCTGATATGGCATGTTTAAGGAAACCCCTGACAATTGGCTGACATTCAGACCCTTCTGACCCAAGGATGGTCTCTAGGAAATGAGGCTTAAAAATTCAAACCAAAGAAAATTGAATAGAAACACCATTGACTAAATACTACAAGGAAGTCAAGATGTTATAAGGAACCAGAATCTACAGTTACATTGTTTTATAGACAGTGTCCAATTTTTAACCAAATTTATACTAGTCAGACAAAGAAATAGGTGAGGCTGATGCATAGGGTAAAACGAGCAGCAATTAGAAGGCAGCTCTGGGACAGCACACCTGATCAGAAGTTTCAAAGTGGCTGTTATAACTGCAATGGCAAAACTAAAGGAGGGCCGAGGACATGCCTGAGTGGGAAGAGCACTTGAAGCACAAACACGAGGACCTGGCTTCAAATCCACAGCAGCTATGTAAAAAGCAGGGCATGACCACACATGTCTGTAACACCAGAGCTGTCAGGGACAGAGACAGGAGGATCATGGGGACATGCTGACTGCCAGCTTAACTCTAGAGTCAGTGAAAGATCCTGCTTTAGGGGAAAAGGCAGAGCGATAGATCAAGACTCCTGATGTCATCCTGTGCATGCACACCTCCACATGTGTGCATAAGCCACACACACACACACACACGGCGGGGGTGGGCACTAAAAGAAACCATGTTGAAAGAATTTACTTGTCACTATGAAGCTAGAAAGTATAACAAACCAACTGAAAGTTCTGAAGTTAAAAGTACAACTGAAATAAAGAATCCAGTATAGAAACCAGCATGCTACTTGGGCTAACAGAGGAAGAATCAATAGTGTGCCCCTGTCAGTAGAGATAATCTAACAGGATTGAAGGAATGGAAAGCAGGCATGCAGAGCTAAAAAGAGCCATCAAACATACGAAAGTCTTTGTAATAGACTGCCTGAAATACTATATGGAAAATGACGGAAAACAAGATGGAATCAGTAATGGCTGGAAACTTTACAACTTTTATTGAAGGAAAACATCACTTAAATACATATTCAAGAAACACAAAGAATTATAAGTGAGATGAATTCAAGAGGATTTAAAGTTGAACACATCTTAATCAATCTATCAAAAGAAAATACGGAGAGAAATCCTTGAAAGCTTTATAAGGAGAAAAGTGGCATCTTACTCAAGAGAACTGCAATAAGGTTAAGAGCTAACTTACCCTCCAAAACAGCAGAGGCAGTGAGGTGGTGGAGGTGGCATTGTGGAATTGAAAGAAATACTATTGACCAAGAATCCTGTATCCAGTTAAAAAAAAATCCTTAAAATTGAGTCAAAATAGGAGTGGGGATGGGGGTACAGCCCCCTAGTACAGCACTTGCCTAGCACTGAGAAAAGAAAAAGGAAGGAGGAAGATGATTGAGGAAAGACAGACATATCTTCCTGAAAACAAACACTAATGGATAGACTCTAGAAGATGTCACTTCAGTAAGTACCAAAGGAAATCCTCTGGATTGAGAGAAAATGACCTCGGAAAGTAATTCAGATTCATAAAGAGAGGTGATTATGTAGATGCATGTTTGAAGAAAGCAGAATCATATTTTTGAGTTTTCAAATTGACTTGAGAAGACTAGTTTGAAGACTGTATTTGTGGACTTAACATATGCTAATAATAACAGAAATGTTGGCAGAGGAAAAAGGAGCCATATCAGAAAAGATTTTATATCCTGCTTGAGTTCATCCTAATCTGATGTAGAGATGGCTAACTGCAATGTGTATTGTAAAAAAAAAATGCTTTCAAACAAGTGAAAAAGCAACTCAGCATGTCCAAACCAAGGCAGTGCTAAAAGGGGAGATTAGGGAAACCTCCCTTGAAAAGTGATCCTGCAGCCATCAGTGCAGCTCAGGGAATCAGAGAAATGAGATCAAAGCAAGGCCAGAGAAATGAGGACTAAAAACAAAAATACAAATAACTAGCAGCTTCCTTGAAAAGAAATAATATCCACAAGCCTTTAGCTACACTAACTTTAAAAAGGAAAAGAAAAACTCAGATAAGTAAAACCAGCAATGAAAGAGAAAATATTAAAATTGACAAGACAGAAATGCGAAGGCATCTTTAGGCATTATTATGAATAATTTTTAAAGAAATATATTCTTATTTTATGTGTATGAGTGTTTTGCCTGTGTGTATGTTAGTGCACCCTTGTCATGCAATGCTCATTGAGATCAGAAGAAGGCATCAGATTCCTTGGACCTGTAGTTAGGATGGTAGTTAGCTGCCATGTGGGTGCTGGGGACTAAACCCAGGTCCTCTGCAAGAGCAGCCAGTGCTCTTAACCACTTTCCAGCCCTATATTATGAACATCTTATACCAACAAATATGACCTACAAGAAACAGACAAGTTCCTGGACACACACAGCTCACAGAGTTTGGATGCTAAGGCTCAGAAGATGGCTAAGTTGGTAAAGCACTTGCCATAAAGCATGAGGACCTGAGTTCAGCTCAGGCAAGCACGAGCCAGGGAGGCAGCCTGTGTCTGTAGCCCTAATGCTTGACGCAGGTGGATCCCCAGGGCCTGCTGGCCAGTCAGTGCTGCCCAGACAATGAGTTCCAGGTCCCATGAAAGACAGTGTTTCAAAAAATAAAGTGGAAAATCATGTAGGAAGACATCCATCGACCTCTGGCCTCTGCATGCTTGCCTGCACACATATACACACAAATAAAAAAGCAAAATTAAAATAAAATATTGGACAATATATAAGTAGAAAAACCTAAACCAATGAACAGCAAGTAACAGACTGAATCAATAATAAATTCTCCCATCAAAGAAAGGCCAGGGCTACTAGCCACCTTCACTGTTGTTTACCACCAGTAAAGTTCAAACAGTTCTTTTTAAAATTATTTCAAAAAGTTGAAAAGGAGGAGAATCTTTCACAATCATTCCATGAGGCCAGCATTACATGGATCTCAAACCAGACAGGGACAGCAATACAATAAAACTACTGGCCATCATGCTTGATGAAAACAGTTGTGAATATCCTCAACAAATCTTACAAGCCAGGGGTTGAGAGACAGCTGGTGCTGTTCCCAGCACCATACCTGAAGGCTCAAAACTGCCCCCATAACTCAGTTCCAGGGGATCTGATGCCCTCTTATGGCCTCTTTGAGGACACACACTCACAAACAGATACATACTTAAAAATAAATCTTTTTAAAGAACTGGCCAACCAAATCTAAAAGTACATTAAAAATATTATTTACTGTGATCACATAGCAGTTGCCCCAGGCGTGTAAATATAGTTCAATAGATCAATAATCAGGATATACCATATAAATGTGCAGTCACCGCCAGCCACTCTTCCGTTCTCATGGGTGCCGCTCCTTCGTTCTCATGGGCGTCAAGGCTGCCCCTCTTCTCACCCTGGGCTGAGGCTGTTCTTCTGCTCACCTGGTGCCACCTTCTGTCGCCACTGCTTCTGCCCAGTCCCGGACCCCAGGGCTGGTAAGGAGACTGTGTCAACGGAGCCACATTCAGACACAGGAGACCAGGTTCAGTGACACAAATCTGCTTTATTGCAGGAAGGCACAAGCTTATATAGGGGTAGTGGTCCAATCACAACACAGCAAGTAGGGTATCTTATTAGCATAACAGGTTTAGCGTCCTATCACAGTACAGCAAGTAGGATACCTTGTTAGCATAACAGACTTAGCCTCTTATTAGCATAACAGACTTATCATCCTATCACAGAATAGCGGGTAGGATGCCTCATTAGCATAATGGGTTTCAGATCACAGAGCCTGGATTCCTGTAAACCACGTGACCCTGACTGTTGCACTATCTAAGTGTTGCAATTTGGAATACCTAAGTGTTGCAATTTTGGCGTCCAAAGGTGGTGATTAGGGAGTGGTGAGCTCTAGGCATCAGTCTCATGATCTGCCAATGGGAGCAAATGTCACAAGGTGTTCCTTGTGGTTCCAGCAATCAGGCCATTGCCTCAGGCCTGCTGTATGGCTGTCAATAAGACTTTCACCCTAGGCTCAAGCCTGTCTCCCACATAAATGGAATGAAGGACAAAAACATGTCTTTATCTCAATAGATAAATAAAAGGAATTTTATAAAATTAAGCATTAATTCATGATAAGAACACTGAGCAAATTATGTATGTATATGAATATACTTCAACATAGTAAAGGCCATTATATGTATGCCAACTGCAGATGGGAAAAAGTTGAAAGATGTCTTTTTAAGATCTGGAATAAGATAAGGATGTGCAAATTTACCACCTTCATTTGATATAGTGTGGAAGTTCTTACCAGAGCAGTCAGACAAGAGAAATGACAGTAAGTCTTACCCAAATTGGAAAGAAACCATATCACCTCTGTACATAAAATACTCCAGTACATAGAAACATTGAAATATCTACCCAAAACTCTTATAACTAATAAGCTATTCCTTGGACCCTTCACCTTCATGAATGAGTCGGTCAGTGCCATATTGCATGGGTGGTGTAGTTATCATGGGAATGTGCTTTAGATTCAAAGTTTGAGTTGGGCCCAGTCTCTTTCCTCTCTTATACACCATATTGTTCTGCAATGGAAAGAGGCCTAAGTAGAGAATGGAGCCATGTTCTTGGACTTCTAAGCTTCCAGGACTGTGAGAAAAACAAGTTTCTATTTTGTTGTGTTACTATGTGTGTGGTATTCATTTACAGCACCAGAAAACAGACTGAAGTAATATTTGGCTGATTTTCAACAAAGCCGAGTCAAGCACAATGGAGATAAGATGGTTTTTCACCATGTGGTGTTAGAGCAACTGTACATGAACATACAAAGAATGAATCCAAAAATCAAGGAATCTAATCAAAGACCTTGCCCTAGTCACAAAATTTAGCACAAAATGGGCCACCTAAATATAAAATGCAAAGTTATAAAAATTTGACAATATAAGGTAGTAGAAAGAAATATAGATGACCTGTGGTTTGGTGATATTTTTGGATGTAATACCAGGAATACCATTCATGAAAAAATTAACAAGCTGGACTTGAATGAAATGAAATTTTTCTACTCTGGAAGAGTTAGTATCAAGAGAATGAAAAGCCAAGTCACAGAATGAGGGAAAATGTTTGCAAAAGATGTTTATGATAAAGGCTGCTTTACAAACTATACAAAGAGCCCAAAATTCAAAATAATAAAACTAATAATAAGATTTTAAAAACATCAAAAATCTTAACAGACACTAGCCTAAAGAAAATATAAGGAGAGCAGTTAAACAGAAAGATGCTCTACCTCATTTGTATCAGGAAAATTCAAATTGAACCAATAATGAAATACCACTGTAAACCTATTAGAATGGCCAAAATTCAGAACACTGGAAACATCAAGTATTAAGTGAGCAATAAAGACTCTTTTAAAATATCATTATGTGTGTGAGTGTTTTGACTGCAGGTTTGTAAGAGCACCCATGACCTGCAGTACTTGCAGAGGCCAGAAGAGGGTGTCAGATCCCTGGAACTGGAGTTACAGATGATGTTGCTCTGCCATGTAGGTGCTGAACCCAGGTCCTCTGCAAGAGCAGCCAATGCTGTTAGCCACCAACCCATCTCTCCAGCCCCAGAGTGATGAGAATTTTTAATCATTGCTAACAGAAGAAAAATGGCAGATCCACTCAGAAAGGCAGTTGAACAAAACTAAGCATACTCTTACTATATGATCCAGTGATCATACTTGGTATCTTCCCAAAGGACTGAGAGCTTCTGCCCACACAAAACACTGCACATGGACGTTTACTGCAACTTTATTACCAAAACTTTGAAATAGCAGAAGTGCTTGTCCAGCAGAGAGAGAGCACAATCCAATTGATCAGTATGTAATGTTAATAGAGTCTTAGGTTAAGAATGAGCTATGATGCATTAAAACACACATGAAAGTAGCCAGTCAGGAAAGAGGACATCCTGTACTTGTACAACTCAGTTACATTCTGGAAAAGGTAAAACTTTGAAGATACCAAAAAGATCATTGGTTCACAAGGTTATGAATGGGACAAAAAATAATAGGGCCTAGAACCCTTCTAGGGCAGAGAAACTACTCTAATTGATAGTGTCTCCAAACAATTTTCCGAATCCAAAGAATGCATAACACCTTGAATGAACCCTAAAGTAAACTGTGGAGTTTGGGAGATAATGGTCAATGCAGATTGACTAATTTCAAGAAATTTACCATTGAGAAATACTGAAAATGGAGAAACTGCATAAATTTGGGAAAGATTAAACAGAAGACGTCCCAGTATTACTAAAATATTTTATTTATTATTTTTATTTTATGTGTATGTGTGTATTGCTTGCATGTAGGTAAGTGCACCTGTGTTGTGCAATGCCCACAGAGGACAGAAGAGGCCATTGAATCCCCTGGAACTGGAGTTACGGACAGTTGTTAGCTGCCATGTGGGTGCTGGGATTCGAACCTGGGTCTTCTGCAAGAACAGCCAGTGTTCTTAACCGCTGAGCCATCTCCCCAGCCCCGACTTCCCAGTATTATTATGAATCTAAAACTGCTCTTAAAAATAAGAGTTGTTAAAAGAGAGAATGAAGTGGGACGATTTTTCTTTGTGATTTCAAAGTATATTATGATATTAATTACAGTCAGAACATTATGGTTTGAGGGCCAGAGGGATGACTTAGTGGGTGAAAGTGTTTGCTTGACATGCAAGCCTGACAATTTGAGTTTGATACCTCGAACCCACATTAATAAGTCAGACGTCGCAACATGCATCTGTAATCCCAGCACTTATCCGGGAGAATGGGAGGGAGAGACTAGAGAATTAGCTGAAAGTTCACAGCTCAGCTAGCTTTCAGTAAACCATGTGGCAACAGAAAACAAAGGAGACCCTGCCCCTACAAGGTGTAAGGTCAGAACCAGCTCCCATAAATGTTCCTCTGAGAGGCTATAGAAAGACGGCTCAAGGGTTAAAACGCTTGCCGCTCTTGCAGAGGACCCAGGTTTGGTTCACAGTACCCAAATGGCAGCACGAAACTGTATAGAACTTAGTTCCAAAGGATCAGATGCCTCCACGGGCATCAGGCATGCACATTGTACACATATATACATGCAGACAAAATGTGCATACACATACAATGAAATAATCTTTAAAAGTAGTTGTCCTCTGACCTCCACAAGTGTACCATAGTATGTATACACACACACACACACACACACACACACACAAACACTTAAAAACAGTGAAAAATACCCACTATGGCTTGAAAATTTCTAAAAATATTAAGTGTAACTTTATCTTGTGACCCAACACATTCCTACTTAGAAGAGAAATCCAGAAAAACAAAACTAGATATACAAATGTAGATTAATGGCTGCCCAGAGCTTCTGGTGCCATGTAGACTGGCTGTAGAAGGGCCCCAGGATCTCACTTGAATAGTGCTGATGGTTTAAACTGGACTTTTATGATAACCAAAGAACCCAATGAATCGATTTAAAAGTATTTCACCCTTAAAATGGGTTAATTTTATTGCACATAAACTATTCTTTCATAAGTTTTTTCAAAGACAAAATGGTCTGGAAAAGTCAGAAGACTGATGTCATCTGAAGACTAAATTCTTTATGAAATCTGTCCTTGTGGGCTCCCTACACCCGGGTATGTGGAGTCAAAAGATGTTGATCAGAGTTTCAATGTTTTTCTTTAAATATTTTATTTATTATTTTTATTTTATTTTTATGTATATGAGTGTTATGCCTGTAGGTAGGTAAGTGCACCCAGGTCGTGCAATGCCCACGGAGGACAGAGAGGCTGTTGGATCCCCTGGAACTGGAATTATGGACAGTTGTTAGCTACCATGAAGATGCTGGGATTTGAACCTGGATCTTCTGCAAAAACAGTCAGTGTTCTTAAGTACTGAGACATCTCTCCAGACCCTGTTTTTCCTTTATATAGTGCTAATTTTAGTGGAAGGTACAATAATTTGTTTTAGGTAGATTTAAATTCCAACCCCCATAGAGCCTAGCATGACTTTCACACGTTTCTCAAGCTCTTTAAATTTTGGATCATTTAATTTTCTTATAAGGAAACTTTGTAATTTAAAGAGGATTTTTTTCCTCCTTCATTTAACTATAACTTAGGAAAAATTTGTTACTATTCTAATAATGTATCTTCACTTATTAATTTCTTTTAACTATAGACAAATTCATACCAGACAGAGGATGAATGTGAAATATAATTCATAAGGGTACTTCCATAAAATCATAACTTAAGCAGTGGTTATTTCTTAACAGAAAATGTCATTTTTAATCAAAATGAGATATAATAGTTATTTAGTCAGGTGTTGTAGATTAGTTTTTAAAAGCCTACATCCTTTGTTTTCTAGCAACATCCCATTCACGATCCCCAACAATCTTGGAAATGTCTCCAAAAGTCATTCGAAAAGCATTAGAATGTGTGGACTTCAGTCATTACATACGGTAAGTGTCAATAAACATGATTAATACAGACAACTGTGTTCATAGAATTTTGAATACATTACCAATGGGTAGTTGCTAAGCAACTGAAATGTTGAAATTCAATGCTTATTATAGCTTCTGTTTGTCCAACTGTTTAGTATTACATGATTTCTCATCTTAAATTTGGCAAATGTTTCATTATATCAATCATCAAATAATTTAAATGTTTTTTAATAAAAATTAATGTGAAGCTACAGAAAGTCCCTATAATACCAACTATTATTATTTCATGAGACTAAATTTTCTTCAGGACTAGATAATAGGATTAATAGATTCTCTCATGTGTGCTTATGTTTGAGAATATCATCACAATCACTTAACTGCATAAATTCAAAGTTAAAACTATTCTCATAGTTTTGAACACCCCTTCCACAATCACCTTTTCAAATGGTACATCTGAATTTGCTAATATTTTCCAAGATATTTTCTTAAGCTAGCAGTGGGTCACTAAACAATAGCTAAGTCATTTTGAGGATAATGTCCTGCCCTGCCGTCTCTCATGCTGTTTTGGTTCCAACCACCTCACTGTTAACACAATACAAAAATATTTGGGGGGCTCTGAAATAACATTGACTCAGATCACAAACTATTTGCTTATTTTATCTGATCATCTTGCATCAAGGAAAACAAATGACGAGGTTCTGCTGCAAACAGAGGAGCTCAGTCAGCAGCAAGCCATGGAGAAGGCAGAAGAAATCCATCAGTTCAGGGAGTACAGGAGCAGGGTCCTTAGCATCAGAGACATTGATCAGGAAGAACAATTTAAGCTAAAGGATGAAGTTCTGGACATGTATGGGGAGATGCGGGTGAGTTTAAAGTACATACGTGGGTCACATTTGGCAAGTCTTTTTGTAATATTAAAAAAAGAAAGAAATTAGAATCATTTAACAGAATAGAAAGAATTCTTTTTTGTTGTTGGTTTTTTTTTTTTTTTTTGGTCTTTTTGAGACAGGGTCTCCCTGTAGTGTGGCTGGTTTGGAACTCACTATGTAGACCAGGCTGGCCTTCTTGAACTCACAGAGATCTGCCTGCCTCTGCTGCCTAAGTGTCAGATGCCCTGGAACTGGAGTTACAGATGGTGGTGGATGACCACAAGGAAACAGTTTTCCAGACAGCTGGCCATTTATTTACTCAGATGAACTTACAGCAATGGTGATAGCATGCATACATCCTATTCAAGCTCAAACCAGACAGAAGCCCAGCATAGATGTGGGGAAACTGGGTAAGAGATCGCAACCCTACCTAAGGAACTATTGGCAACCATAGGTGCTGGGAGAGGGAGAGTCAATCTCTTCCAAGGATGGGACTCTTAGAAAGTTAGCCAGGCTCCAGTGGATGGATCCACATTCCACACTGAAGGACATTTGGGGGGTACACATTAGTCTCTATAGGTCTTTATAAACAATAGAGTTCATTAAATTTGGTGGAGAGGAATTGGAGAGGGGCCTAAATACTATTAAATTATATTGAATGAAAATTCCAAAAAATTCAATTAAGAAATTGCTTCCTCAATTCACAACTTCCCAGAAAGGACTGGCAGATGGTCACATACCTTACTTCCCTCCCTCCCTAAAGATCTCACTAACCTATCATAATGGGAATTCATCTAAAGATGAGATGAATGAGACAGAAGGCAATGGAATGATTTGTTAATTTGGAAAATAACTGAGAACTACATTCCCAGAATTTAGAATGCCAAATTCAACACTGGCTGTGGGAAAACCAATCAGAAGCTCCCTAATGTGCCACAGAATTTGCATAGAATGCCTCAAAGCCCAGAAATCTGTGGCATCACGTATATCAGGAAGCAGAAATAAAATAGAAGAAAGAGAAAATAATTAGGTTTATTTGGTTTAGGCCTATTTAAAAATTACAGATCTTTATCGTTTAACATAAAAATGTAGCTATGTACTCTAAATATGAATGCATTTTTAGTCTGTCTCTACTAGAATATTGACTACACGTGAAGAGGGCCTTTGTTTTAGTTCACTTTTATGCCTTACAGCGGGGAATGGGAAGTGTGTTTGATAAATGAATCACGGAATCAATGAATGAATGTTAAAACTACATAGATTGACTATAACATATTATATTATCAGAAAAAGGGAATTTCAAGATTGCTGTTTCTGTTTTCAGTGCCTGGTAGCCAAAGTAATGCAACAGATGAGGACCACATGGAGAGTAAATATCAGAGAAGCTTTGCATTCAGAGCCTAGGCATTCAAGTGTGAGGTGCAGATACATACCCTAGTTTTGAATGAAGCCATTTTATTAGAAATATAATTGTAACAGATTTCTTATGAAATAGGAGAGACTGTGCCCACTCATCAAGAATTTACAGACATGTTAAATTTACTTGACACAGATTCTTACAATGCCTGCATCTCACTCATGACTTTGCATGTGCCAGAGCTGTCCTCTTGTACTTGTGCAACTGCTTCTAGGAACGCAGCTTTACGATGGTTAATGTAGTAGTTTTCTTTCATCAAAAGCATTATGAAGTCTGATTCTGACAGTCAGCTATTCCAGCCTCTCAACAAAAGCACACCAGTTGCAGAATGATGAAAAATTCTCCAAGAGTTCAGTGTGAAGAGAAAGCTGGCACTTCTAGAAAATGCCATTCGGGCTAGCATCAGTTCATTAATCCTTATTACTTCATTATAGCAATTTTGAAGCGTTAAACAGCACCGTAGTCTCTTCCACATTAAGAAATTGGCCAAGGGGACTAAAAAGGATCAGCTAGTAAGGCAGAGGAAGAATTATTAAGACTGTGGCATCCAAAGGAGACAGTGTGGTAGAACCAAGAAATGGTCTTGGATGTAGCTGGAGACCAGTGACTGGTGTCCTAGATAAACACAGTTGTAGGGGGGCAGTGAGAATGAAATTCAAGCCTACAATAACAAAGAAAACTAGCGGACTAGGTGATACTATTGACAAGGTCTTCAGCACAGCCCTGATATATTTTAAGCCTAGAGTACAGGTAGGGAACTAGTACTTTACTGAGCACAATTACTATGTGAGGGGCAGAATGGAACTGAACTCCTTTAAGGCAGGGTTTGCTCTGCCAAAATCTCTACCAATTTCCTTAACCTATTTTCCTCCCATTAAAGCTTTTGGTCATTCACTCAGTGTTAAGATCTCACATGCCTTCTATAGCAACTTCATATTTTTCGAATTGCTAAAATTCAAGACCACACCTAATTTGCATCTTCAGTAAGTTTCCCATGAATCTGTTGCTGTACATAAGGGAAGGGTGAAGGAAAGGTATTTATTTTACATGGAACCATAGATAATTTTCAGCAGATGCGCTTGGTGTTTTGTTTTGGAATAGGACTCTTTGGATGAAGCCCGACAGAAGATCCTGGATATCCGGGAAGAATACAGAAAGAAGTTGCTGGAAGTTGAACGCTTGCGTCTGGAAGCCCTGGCTGCTCAAGAGGCAGCCTTGAAGGCAGAGTCGGAAAAGAAGTCTCTGGTTCCCGACTCCCAGAAGAAAAAGAAAGGCAAGAAGAAGTAGCCAGGAGCTGCCCAATGCTACATTCTGTGAAGTTGAAAATGGGTCATCAGCTGCTTTGCCTGTGGATAATGCATTAGACCAATTGTGAAAGAACATGTTTTCCATTTTAGACAGTTTCCACATTTTAATGTTAATGTATTAGTTTTTCTCAGAAAATATTTGAAGCCATTAGAGTTTAGGATGTTCTCATTTCACCTGGCTGTGATGGCATAAGCCTGTAATCCCAGCACTAGGGAGGCAGAGGCAGGTGGATCTCGGTGAGGCCAGCCTGGTTTACATATCCAGTTCCAGGTCAACTTGGGCAACAGGGAGACCCTGTTTCAAAACAAACAACCAAAAAGATGTTCTAATTTTAATAAAATTGTTAGCAATATTGAGATTATAAATAAAGTTGCAGGTGTTACATTCTGAATTGTGTGCATTAACAAAATTCATGTGTGTGTGTGTGTGTGTGTGTGTGTAACTGTGGGCATGCATGTACGACATGTATTTGGAGTTCAGAGACCACTTCCAGAAGTCAGTTCTCTCCTACCTTTTTTGAACCAGGGTTTTTAGCTATTTCTGCTTGATATTCCCAGCTAGGTCCATAAGACTTCAGGTGAGGTGATTCTCCTGTTCGAACTTCCCATCTCCCCACAGGAGCACTAGGATCACAGATGTACACTACTGTATCTGGATTCTACACAGATTTTGGGCAATCCTAACTCAAGTTGTCAGACTTTCATGGCAATCACTTTGACTCACTGCCACATCTCCCCTGCCTTGAATTTTTGTTTTTAATCTTTAATTATATGTATAGTGTGTATCTGTGTGGGGGTTTGTGCATACAAGTTCAGTGCTCATAGAGCAGACAATGTCAGGTTCCCCTGGAGCTGGAGTTATAGATGGATGTGAGCTACCTGACATGGATTACCGGGAACTGAACCCAGGTCCATCATAAGAGCAGCAAGTGCACTTATTGGCTGAGCCATCTTCCCAGCCTCCTGGGTTTTAATCAGTAGTAAAACAAGATTATAAATGAGCCTATGCAATTATCTTTGAAAAAAATGGATAGTTTATCCAAATGTATTCTCCTTTAAAGAAATTATATCTCAAACTTCAAGTTTTAGAATATTAATAAAGATTCTTCATAATTGTGCCAGTTTTAAAAGCTGAACTTCAGTGAAACATTATTGGACAGAATTGTTCCGGTGCACCCTACAGGGTGTCGGGGTTCAAAGCTTAGCAGTAAGAACCGGACTTGGCAGAGATACTGTGATCATAAACATCTCTTTCACACTATCAGTGCTGTGCTTATCATAAACCAGACATGTTCCTATAAATAAGTTTCAGAAGAATACTTACAAATCAGCACTGTCATGGCTAAAACCAAACTTGCTTCACTTTAATAGGTTATTTTAGATTCTTTTCTACTTATCAAAGTCTTTGTTAGAAATATTTAATCTATACATACATGGCCAAATAATTTTTGACAAGGCCTCCAAGAACTAAAAACATAGCAAGGAAAGACTTCAAGAGATGGTGTTTGTAGAAACTGAGTTCCCAGAAAAACATACCATGCCCATGTTAGTGATTCTAGAAGGCTGATTGAAAGGTTAGATCTTCAAAGTCGTGGAGGGTCGGAGTGTTTTAGGCCAGAGCCAAAATTACCTTTGGCCACCCTTAGTCTACTTAATGACACTCACTACCCTGCTTTGTGTCTGACCTAACATCCTTTTGACTTCCATGTAAAACTTTTTGGATTAACTTAGCAGACCACTAGCTTTGATCCACCCCAAAGTTAAGAATGTCATGAGAGACCATAGCAGAGATCCCGTCTTTGCTGTGTTCCACTGGCCTGTTGTCCCCAACAGTGTATTTGGAAAATGCATTGATTTGTGGCTCTATGATATAAAATTTTCATGAAATAAGTTCCATTTGGAATTTGTTATTTGGAATTACCTGAATCCATGTTTCCAGGCCACCACTCATATCTGGTTTGAGAAGAAACTATCTCCTGGTTTTTTGGAGGTCAGAGCCAAGCTTTGCATCAACACAGGGAAAGACTAACTATCCAAATGCAAGATGTTGACCTAGAATATTGCCATATACTATAAATAAAAATTAACTCAAAATGTGTTAAAGACTTCTACATAAGATCTGAAATTGTAAAACTCTTAGAAGAAAAAAGTGGAAAAGCCCCTTGATACTTGTCTTGACTTTAAATTTTTGGATTTGATGCCAGAAGTTAGTCAACCAAAGAAAAAAAATGATGAGGGATTATATCAAAATTAAAAGCTTTTGGACAGCAAAGGAAATAAGATATAAAGGTTATCTATAGAACTATTCACAACACAAAAGAAATGCAGTCAACTAAGGTACCCAGTGTTGGAAGCATGGATGTTTTAAATGTGGTAGTGCACACAATGAAATATTACTCAACCATGAAAAATAATGGAATCCTGTCAGTTTTATCAACATGAATGGAACTGGAGGACATTATGGAAAATGAAATAAGCCATGTGCAAAAATATTACTGTTTATTCTCATTTCTAGAAGCTGAGTTGTTGATTCTATAGAAGTAGAACAGTGGTTAGCAGGGTCATGATTGATACCAACATTTAGTTACACAGGGGAAATAAGTTAGGATGCCCTACAGCACAGTAGGGAGACTCTAGGTAACAATGATTCATTATATAGTACATGAAGAACGAGAAGAGGGGAGTTTGAAGATTCCCATCACAAAGAAATGATAAACAAGAGAAAGAAAATAGTACCCTAATGGAAGGCAGAGTCTGTAAAACTGCTTTAGACTTCCTTCCTAATCCTTTACTTAATCTTCTTTTTTAAACTTTTATTTATT